TGGGCTCTCCGGAGCGGCGGCAGCGGAGCTGCAGCGGCGGCGGCCCCGGAGCCCCGCGGGAGCGGCCCCGGAGCCCGCCTGGAGCGGCCCCGCCGCGCCCGAGGCAGCGGCCCCGCAGGCACCGAGCATCGCGCCCGGGGGCACCGGCCGGACCCGAAGGTACCGGGCACCGACCCGCGGCTCGAGCGGGGGCTGCCGCTGGGATCTGTTGATGGGAGTTGGAGGAAAAGTTTTGCCGGGGAGTCGGAGCGGGTCGGTGGCGGTGCCGGTGCGGGCGGGGGGAGGCGATGCGGTGCCCGCCGGGAGCGGTGCCGGGGCGGGTCGGGCGATGCCGCTGCGGATGGAGCCGGGATGGGCTGGGGGTCCGGCCCGGCGGGGAGCGGTGTCTCTGCCCCCCGTGCCGCCCCCGGACCCGCGGCGGTGACCGGCGCCCGCCCTGCGAGCGCTCCAGCCCCGCGCCGGGTGTCGGTGTTTTCCCGGCGGAGTTTTTAGGGAATGCTGGATCCACCGGGGAGGCGGCGGCCGGGGGCGGCCGGGCCTGTGGGTGCGGGACCCCGGGAGCAGCCCCTGTGCCGGTCGGGGGTCGGTGCAGCTCGGGGGGCTCCGGCGGAACGGGCTCCGCGCGGGCGTCCCCGCGGTCCGGCGTGGGAACGGGAGCTCCGGGGGCTGCGGGGTGCCAGCGTGCGTTCCTGCAGGCGCAGGAAAACAAGCCCGTTCTCTGTGTTGTTTGGGAAGTTTGGAGAACTTCCCAAGCCAGCAGGTCGTGGAGAGCACAAGCGCGATTCCAGGGAGGCAGCTGAGCTGGGGGCTGGGGCCGCCCCGTCCCCGGGGACAGCCCCGAGCGGCTGCAGCGGCCGCTCCGGCCGGCGAGAGGGACCGGTCCGAGCAGCGCCGTGGGGCTGCCCGGCCCCACGTGTTGCACTGGGGCTGTCTGTAGGTCAGAGCCAAGCCAAGGCTGTCCCTGACACAGAGTGAGCGAGGTGACACCTGGTTTGGGCTGTGTGGAGGATCTCTGGCAACTGACCCCTGAGCCGTCTGGATTGCTGGTGAACCCGCTCCCTCGGTCAGTGAGACCGGACCTGGGCAGTGCCCCTCGGCTCCTGGTGCTAATCACGCTCTGGTTGCTGCCCTTGGGGCAGCCACACACTCCTTTTGCCCTCCTGCGATCCTGAAGTTACCCGAGTGCTCGGTATTGGGCGAATAGAGCTGCAAAAGGTTTGCAGAGTGTTGAGCAGACAGTTAAAAATCCCCAGTTTGCGTTTTCTGCAGGAGGCTGTGCTGTTTTGCTCTCGCAGGAGCACGTGTAGTCCCCCTGCAAAACACAACCCCCGGCACCAGGAGGTGAGAGGTGAGCGGGGGGATGATGCTGGGGAGGGGCAGCTCGGAAAGGGGGGAGCTGGGCAGAGGGGCTTCAGCTTTGGGACCTTCCCCGGGAAGGGGACGGTGACCTGGAGCACTGCCCGACACTTCTTGCACTGTGCTGTGGGCAGGGGAATGACAGGGACCTGATAAACAGTAAGAGGTATTTTGCTAAAGGTTCTAGACAGTGACTCATCTACTGTAGGAAGGGACAGGAGGGAGGGGCAGCACAGGAGCTTTCTAGAGTAAAAATGGGTCTTTCCCCCTGATTATATCAGAAACAGGAGGTCGGGAATCCCTTTTTACTCCCAGAACAGCGCAGAACTCTGGGTTATAAAGCTCCTGATGCAAGTGCCTCCTGCATCCCTGTCCCCGGGGAGGATCCTGCCTTCTGGCCGTGTCCTGGGGTGGGACTGTTCCAAAATTTGGGGTGATTTCCAGCCCTCACCATTGATCCTATCTGACCGTTCTTAGTCACTTCTGAGTCACTCCAAATAATTGATCCTTCTCTGTACATTGCACCACAACTCTGTGTGTCCCTGGCCAGCTGGGGGGTCTCAGAGGTCACTCTGCTTGGCTCTGAGTTATTGTCTTAACTTTGCTCCCACCTCCAGCCTTCCCCCCTCGGGTTTTTCTGCTCTCCTCTGCCCTCCCCTGCCCTGGACAGCCTGGAGGAGGTGCAGTGCTGCTGCCTTTCCCAGGTGTGCTGCACTCTGAGAGGCCTCCCCAGCTCTTCACAGTATTGCTGTGCCCTCTCGAAAAGGTGTCTGTGTAAGGAATTTTGCTGATATTTGCCTGGATTTGGTTTATTTGCAGAGGAATTGGTGCAGCTGGTTGGTCCTTGCTGACTGAGCACCTCACTCCCAGCGAGGAGCCGCTTCCTCCCTCTGGGGATTTATGGCTTCTGCACCACCTCTCCCCCTCTTCCTGCCTGTGGATTTACCTGGGAATGCTGGTGGCTGGTCTGGCTGTGGATTTATCATCTCTCCCTTGCAGGGGTGTTGCAGGGGGCGAGGAAAGATCCCCAGACCCCCCAAGAGACAGCCCTCATCCCCCACATCGGTGGTTGAGGGGAAACAACAACAGTGGGGAGTTGTTGAGAATTATTGCTTTTCAAGAATCGACTTTTGACCGAAACTTGGCACCTTTTGAGACCCGTGAGTCTCTAGACAGACCCTTTTCCACTGTAAGATGTTCTTTCAGGGTCAGGAGGGCTCCCCAAACCTTGGAAATGGCTCCAGTCTGAGGTGGGTCCTGAGGCTCACGGGGCTGGTCCTGGCTGGTCCCTGCACTGGGTGCCCTGGGCACCTTTGGATCTGGGTGTCTCACTTTATCTGGGTTAAGCTCCCAAGGAAAGAGGTGTGACTTGAGATCCAGAACTGGTTTGAGAGATCAGAACTGGGCCAATTTCTAGGCCAGAACGGGGCTGCTGATGTCCCCAAGGGTGGATTTGGGTACAGAAATGGATGAAGGTCGAGGTTCTCACCTCCCTCCATTGCACAGGTGCCTTCTGCTGAACACAGGGGGGGTCATATCCCTGACAGCTGCTGGGCAGGTAGCAGGACATATGGAAGCTTCATTATTCCTTTCAGAGCATGAAAAACCACCCCTTGCTGAGAAGTGCTGGAGCTGTGAAGTGCAGATGGGGCTGCCCCCAGGAATAGCAGCAGCCTCAGGGCACGGGGAGGGGGCTTTCCTTGGTACCACCTCACCCTCTGCAGAGAGTGTTCTCTGTGCTGCATCCCCAGAGGAGGGTTTAAGAGAACCAGGCTCTGCTGTGACCCTCAGGCAGCATGAGCCTGGATGGAGAGGTGGTTGAATGGGACGGTGCATCTCTGCCCCTTGGTTTCAGTTCTCCTGCGATGTCCAGGGTGCTTTGCTGTCACCACGCTGGGTGTCCCCTGCCCTCCAGGGAGGGCTGTGCCAAATGCTCCTTTGCAGACCTGCTGGAGTGGCAGGGAGGGGCACCTCTGGGTGCTGAGGGCTCCCTGTGCCCTGCCCAGGGCACAGCAGGGTCCAGTGCCCAAAGGCTGCCCTGCTCCGTCCTGCAGCCAGCTCGGGAGGTTTGGTTAAGCAGGTGCTGATCTCTAGGCGTGCGTGTGAGTGCGTTTAAAAAGTCAAAAGGAATTAAACACGTATTTTTCTGGGCCGTGGCTCGTGCTGGGGCTGTGCACAGGAAAACAAAGGGTTCTCCAGGGTCGCTTGTGCTCCGCTGTCGGCTCCTGCCTGCTCAGCCCGGCCCTTGAACAGGAGCATTTGGGTCTCTGTGTTTCTGGTCACCTTGCAGCAGACACAGGGGGTGGTTTCTGCGCCTCCTCTGCTCCCTGTTCTGCTGACAGCTGCGTCTTCCTCAGCCCGGAGGTGTGAGAGCTTTACCTGCCTCCTCCTCCTGCTCCTGCAGAGATGGTGCTTTGCAGGGACTGGGGGAGCTGTGCCACTCACTCCTCTGTTATTAACTAGAAAGGAATAAAGTTGCAGAGGGATCAGATCTGGAGAAAGACCCAGAGTCCCAAAATGCTCCCGGAGGATAGATCCCTAATTGCTCTCTAATTGCATTAGAGTTTAATTTGTTGTTGTTTTTACTGTAATGTTCCCATTTTTCTCGATAGTTTGCTTTGTTCCATTAACTGGAAATAGCTGGAGATGAATATTTGCAATATCAAAACTTGCCTGGTGTGCAATGCCTGGCAGGTTTTAGGCCTTTTCTGTGCTGGCAGGGGACAGGGGGGGCTTTGCCTGCCCTGGCTGTCGGGGACTCGGGTGGGTTGCAGTGCCCACCCCGGGGCAGCGTTTGCTGTACGTGCAGGTCCAGCCCTGGGAGTTTTGGTGGCCTCTGTCCTGCTTCCAGGAGACACAGAAAGCTGAGCTGAGCTGGCCCCAGAGCAGCTCACGGGCAGCTGCACTTCAAAGGGCTTGTTTAATCCATTTCTGCCGAGCACAGGGGGGGAGCAGGTCTGGAAATGAAACTGGGAAAGCTTCAAAAAGGGCTTTCAGGAGCTTCATTTAGAAAGCAATAGGGGAGAAGAATATTGCTGCTCTTAATTTCAAAGCAGAAATATATTTACTTTGCCTTGTTGAAGAGGAAATTGGGTAGAAGATGTAGTTAAGCTGGGACCTGCTTCTTGCCAGTGCATCTTTGTTGGTGAAACAAATCCTGAGGGTGGGAGAGTGTGAATAAACCTTTCCAGTCTATCAGCCTTGAGGCCCTAGAGGTGTCACCCGTGTCCTGCCTGTGTATCACACACGTGCCACTTGTGTGTGTCACACAGGACACCCGAGCCAAGCCCCGGCTGCCCGTGAGCTGGGTGTGACACTCCCGGCTCTCAGGAGACAGTCTGAGCACCAGGAGACGTGGGGAACTGCACTGGGAACTCAAAACTGCTCCTAAATTTGATCCAGCCGCTCAAAACCAGTGGGTGGACCTGGTGGTGAAGTGAGACGTGGATATTTAAAGCTGCCTTGAGGGATGCAGCCAGAGACATGACACCCAGCAGTGAACTGCGAAGGTGAGACATGCTCTGGTTTCAAAATTCACCGAGAAAATGGGAAAAGCTTGGAGCACTGGATCTGCAGAGCCTGGAGTGGCTTGTCAGAAACCCCAAGAATGGGATGGGATTGAACACCCACTGCTTTTGAAGTTGTAAATTAGTCAGTTAAACCTGCTGTTGCACAGAATGCTGTGCAGGCCCCTCTATTATCTGATATATAATAAGCATGTGAGCTGATGGCATTAGAGGCAGAAGCTGTTGTGGCCTCAGTGCATGGTGAGGGTGCTCAGGCTGGCAGTAACCCTGCATCCC